GTAGCAGACGTTGCCTTTTCCATCTGTCGGGGAACGTCCCCTCCAGAAGGCACTTGTTGAACAGGCCGGCAACTTCGGACGTCAGCAACGATAGAGTCAGCTTGGTTGCTCTACTCGGAATCGCGTCTGGCCCCGGAGCCTTCTTGGGCTTCAGGCTTCTACCGGCAAGGAGAACCTCAGCTTCCGTGACCCAACGGATGTCGTCCAACTCGGTGCTCGGGAACAGGGAGCCAACTATCCTCTCCAGCGTCGCCGGGTCGGTTGGGGCACAGCCACCCGCATTAAGCCTCTTTACTACCATTCTGTAGGCTCCTCCCCATGGATCCTCCTCGGCGGCGTCGCACAGCTTGAGGAAGCATTCTCGTTTGCTGTTCTTAATGGCAGTCTTGAGCTCCTTTCTTGCTGCCCTGTAGCGGTCGTTACACGTAAGAAGACGCGGGGTGCCTCTAGCTCGCTGCAACAATCTTCTGCTGCGGTGGCATTTACGGCGCAGGTCCGCGATCTCCTCGCTCCATTAAAACATCGGGGAGTGGTGCTTTCTGAACGGCCTTCTTAGTAGCATGCTTTGGCTGCAAGCGCCGTCCACGGCCCAAGCCAGCTTGTCGGCCGTCTCGTTGGCTCCGTCTGCTTCGCCTGCCGTGAAGCCCTCGAGGGCATTTGCAAAATCCCGCGGCCTGAAGGTGTCTTGCCGGAACGCCTTCCTATCCGGGAGTAAGGACCCACTCGTGCGATGCGCGGCGCCTATCGAGCACTCGAAAGCCTCGTGGTCGCTGGCGGTATAGGCCTCGCTGATCTTCCATCGGGCGCGGCTGGCCAGCGTACTGCTGACATAGGTGAGGTCGATTACCGAGCCCACCCCAGCCCTGCTGAAGGTCTGACGGGAGCCTTCGTTCAGAAGGACTACGTCCAGGGAGGCGAAGGTCTCCAGCACCGCTCGACCTCTGGCGTTGGTCCGAGAGGACCCCCATTCCATGGCCCAGGCGTTAAAGTCTCCGCCGACCACAACGTTGCTCCTCCCACGCAGGTCGCTGCACAGCTCGTCCAGTACCCTGCCAAACGCTTCCAGTGAAAGGCTGGGTGCCAAGTAGCAGCTGTATAGCCAGGTTCCGCCAATGTTCGCCCGAACGAACCCTTCCGCTGATTTGGTGTCGCGCATCTCCGGCGCATCCGCTCCGCAGCTCCACAAGGCCGCTTTGCCAGAGAGGTCAGTGGCCCAGTCGCGGTTGTTACCAACCCTGTAGGGTTCGCTTAGGACTGCCACCTCCGAGCCAAGCTCTCGCACCGTCTGCGACAGGAGATCCTGAGCTGCCCTGCAGTGGTTCAGATTGATTTGAATCAACTGCATGGAGGTCGAAGATTCCCCTTTCCACTATCTGAGACTGGGCATCCCCTGGCGCCTGCCTTGTGCCTCGTCTCCTTCCTTCCAGCCGCAGCGCATATGAAGCATGACGGCTCCTTGTTGCACGAGCCCGCCTTGTGTCCCGGCTCGCCGCAATTAATGCAGCAACCGCTCCTGTCCACAGGGCCCTTGCAGGGGATCGCAATATGCCCTGGTTCTAGGCATCTGAAGCACCTCACGGGACCAAGTCGTTCCCGGATCCTGCAGATGGACCATCCAATCCGAACTTCACCATGATGGAGGACGGCTTTGGCAAGGGATACGGGAAGGCTGACTATTGCAGTTTGGGTTTCAGCAAAGCTGCGGCGCATACTCCGCACTTTCACCCTCTCTGCCTCGAAGTTAAACTGGCCCGCGAGGGCGGCGCACCCCTTCTGCTTCGTCGCGATCGTGTCGATGTTGCGCACTTCCAAGACGAGGACTTTTGAGTCCTCAGTCGTAGCGCGCACCGACGCTGAATCTCCGAGCACCTTCTCGATGTTCTCCTTCATTGTCGCGGCGCTCTCGGCGCTACCCTTCGCCACCTCCAGGAGCAGGTTGCCGTTGTTGGTTCGGCGAACCTTTGACACACAGCGTCCCAGGTCCGACAGCTGCTTGTCGTCTCTCCTCGTCACCATTGCGAGCACCTCGCTGTAGGACTTGCCGCTCGCGTGGACAATGACAGCGTCTGGCCGAGTGCGGCGCGCTGTTCTCGTCTTCCTCGCCACGACCTCCCATTCGTTTTCGGGGGTTCTCCTGGCTCACAGGCTTCCGGGCTGGCCTATGCTGCTCCGATGCAACATGCACAGCCGCTGGCGGCTTCGCACGGGGCTTCTTGGGCGCCTTTGCGCTTTTCTGCTGCGCTAGACGAGGGAGTGGCGGGGCCAGCACCGGTGCGGGTAATCCCGGCGCCTCTTGCTGGCTTAGCCTTCTCCACGGCTCGGTTTGGACCGATGCCTCCTTTTTCCAGGCGGTCGCCGTTTGCTGCTCCTTGTCCGCGCTTTGGGTGATCTGGGCGCATTTCCGGCATAGGTTATTCGCGACCCGGCTCTCCTGCCTGTCGCTGACACCTGCCGCGGCCGTTCTGTTTGCTACAAGGATGTTGGAGTGCAGGGACTTCACCTTGGCAATCATCTCCCTCAAGGACATGGTGATGTGACGCGTCGTTTTGTCCATCATCTTCAATGAAACCTCATGCAGCAATTTTCCCATCTCCTGGAGATCCTGCTGGCAAGCTGGCTCTTCTGACGCCTTGCATTTCTTGGCCGGCGTAGTTCTTGGTCAACCAGCCGGGCTTGCAGGGTCTCGTGACCTCTTGGGGGGCGGCGTAGAGTCTGAGCTCTGCCCTCCTTGGGTCTTGTGCAGCTGTGGCGATCGGGCGAACTTGCTGCTCCTGCTGAACGCCGCTGCCTCTTCCTCTTCCCTTGATGCACATGGCGACCCCGCCAGTGCTGTTCCGCCCACGAAGGGGTTTACCTCTTCCATAGCCGGCTTGTCGGTCAGCGCCGGGCTCCCACGCTGGCCAAGCGACGGGGGTTATACCGCCCCAACTGTGTGTTTTAGTGTTGTGTTGTGTGTGTGTTTTAGTGTTGTGTTATGGGTATTTTGTGTTGTGTTTTCCGGTTCTGATCCGCCCCCCAGATGTGGTTTTGTGTCCCCAATGTATACGCGTTTTGTTTTATGTGTTTCTGGATTCCGTACGAGTATTATTACCGGGGATATGAATTTTCCTACCTTCCATGGCCCGTCATACTTTGGCGCGAGTTTGGCGTTGAACTTGTCTGCTGCGTTGGATAGTGGGTGTGTTTTGCACCATATCAAGTCCCCTACCGGCGGCTACCACTCCTGTCTACGTAAATTGTAGTGCTGTTTTTGTTTTTCCGCCGCTTCTTGCATGTTCGCCGTGGCTTCTTCCCTCAGGTTGTTTAGCCTCTTCCATCTCGTACCTATATTTTTCCCCGTCAGCCCTGATCCGGCTGTTACGGCGTCGAACACCGTGTTGGATAGCCTTAACTCCTTCCCAAATATCAGCTGTGCCGGGCTGAATTTGGTTGACTCGGACGTGCTGCTATTGTATGCCAACATTAGTTCGGGTAGGTGTTCATCCCATTTCTTGTGCTTCTGCTCTGCCAGTTGCGCTATCATCGTCTTTACGGTGCGGTTTGTGCGCTCTGTTGGGTTTTCCTGGGGCGTGTACGGTGCTGTAAACTGTTGCCGCACGCCCCATTTCTCCATAGCGGTTTTCGTTTTCCGCCCCGTGAACTGGACACCATTGTCCGAGATCAGTATTTTCGGCGCCCCAACTCTCGCTATTACCCTTTCTCTGAAGGCTTTTAAGAACGCCTCTGCGGTTGCTTGTCGGATTGCAGCCAGTTCTACCCATTTCAAGAACTTGTCCACTATTACTATCAACGTGGTGTTCCCGTGTTTAGTGCGAGGGAGAGGTCCGACAAAATCGACACACACCGTCTCTCAGGGTGCCTCCGCGATCCTCGTCAACATTTTTCCTGCTGTTTTTTGCTGGGAAACTTTGTATCGCTGGCAACACTGGCATTCCCTGACGAACCGTCTCACGTCCCTTCCCAGTCGTGGCCAGAAGTATCGTTGTTTGCCTAAGTGACCTGCTTCTGCCGTGCTATGGTTCTCTGCCAATACTTGTTGTATCTCCTCTTTTGTTATGCATAGTTTCCATGGCTGTGAGTCCTCGCTATCCCCGCCTAATTTATAGAGTCGATCTCCCACTTTCTTGAACTCTGTGTTTCCTGGGTCGTTCTCTACTTCTTCGAGCTTTTGTTCTAGCCAGTCCCTTGCTTCCTTGATAGCTTTTAGTTGGACTCTTGGTGCTCTTGATAGTGCGTCTGCTACCTCATTCAATTTTCCCTTTCGGCATTGCACTTCGAACTGAAAGGGTTGGAGACCTAACGCGCATCTCGCGACTCTTCCTGACGGAGTCTCTATTGAATTAAGCCACTTCAGTGCCATGTGATCCGTAACTACCGTAAATTGGTAGCCTTCTAAGTACATTTTGTACTTATTGATGCCCCAATATATCGCGAGGCATTCCCTTTCGGTGGCGCTGTAGTTCCGTTCCACGTTACTTAGCCTCCTGCTGGCGTACGAGATCACGTGTCCCCCGTCTTCTCCATCCTGCGTTAGTACCGCGCCTATCCCAAAGTCGCTGGCATATGTCTGCAATTTGAACTGGCGACTGAAATCTGGGCATGACAGTACTGGAGTCCTTGTCAAACTTTCCTTCAAGCTGTCGAACGACTTCTGGTGCTTCTCGGCCCATTCAAACTTTTTCCCTTTCTTAAGGAGGTCTTGGAGCGCTCCGGCCTGTTCCGTGAAGTTAGGTATAAACCTTCGATACCATGATGTCATCCCTAGGAAACTGTGTACCTCCTTCGTGGTTTTCGGTGCCGAAAGCTCTTGGATTGCCGCTATTTTTTCTGGGTCCGTTCTTATTCCTCGGTCGGTCACGACGTGTCCCAAGTATTTCAGTTCTTTTTGAAAGAATTGGCATTTCTCTGGATTTATCTTTAGATTCGCCCTTTGCAATCTTCTGAACACTTCCCCCAGTTTCTCCAGATGCTCTCGTTTGCTCCGTCCAATGACCACGATGTCATCTAGGTAGGCAAACGCAAATGGTTCCATTTCCGGGCCTATTATTGTGTCCAGTGCCCGCTGGAATGTTGCTGGAGCAGTCGTCAATCCGAATGGCATCACTTTCCACTCGAACAGCCCCCGCCCCGGTACTGTGAATGCCGTATATTGCTGGCTGTTTTTCTCCATTGGAATCTGCCAGTATCCGGATTTTAGATCTATGGTGCTTATGAACCTTGCTTCCCTTAATTGGTCCAGTATATAGTTCATCCTTGGTACCGGGTAAGCGTCTTTCTCTGTTCTTTCGTTCAACAGTCGATAATCTATGCACATCCGCCACGTGTTGTTTTTCTTTTTTACCAACACTACTGGTGCGCTATATGGGCTGCGCAATGGCTCTACTAGCCCTAATGCTAACAACTCGTCCACCTGTTCGTTAATTATAGCTTGTTGATTTGGGTTCCGTGGATAATACCGTTGTTTTATAGGTCTGTCGTCCTTTAAGTGTATTGTGTGTCTCGTAATGTTACTTACTCCCTGCAACCCCTCGAATACTTGCCTTTGATTTTCCAGGAACGCTTGTATTTCCGCATCTGATGGTTCTGGCATCTCTTTGTCGGTTTCATTGTCATGTCCTCTATGGCTGTTACTTCCAGTTCCAGCTTCCCGCACCGTAGTAGGCTGTGAGCCCCGGCTAGTAAATCCATTCCTAACAAGATTCCGCCTGCGACCTGTTTCAGAATCAGGAATGTTAGGCTAAATGCCTTCCCCGCGAATTGGATATCTGCTGTGAACATTCCTACTGTTCTCTGGTTCGATCCGTTAGCCATCATGATTTCGGCCCGGGCTCCGCTCCACCTACCCTGCTTTCTGAGGTCTTGGTACCTATTCATCCCTATCGCGCTACGGGATGCTCCGGTGTCTATTACTCCCTTCGCCGTTCTGCTTCCGACCCTGATGCGTGCGGTTATTTGGTACCCGTCGCAACTCAGCTGCTTTCCTGGTGCTGGCTCTAGTCTTGTCGCCTGAGCTGCCAGCTTTATCTGCTCAGGCCTCCTGCGTTTCCCGATCCCATTCTGTAGCATTCCGTTGTTCTGATGTCGTTTCTTCCACAGACCCAGCAAAATAACCGTTGCGGGTTGCCGCATGTGCGTGCCGCATGGCCTGTCCCGCCACACCGCATACAAATTTCCGGCCGTATTTGCTGCTGTGCCGGCTGGTTGTGTCGCGTCCGGTCCGCTGCCTCGATCTCCTCCACTTCCTCTGCTAGTTTGAGGAACTCCGTCATCGACCTAAATCCTGATCTCCGCGTGTAGAGCTTGATCTTGCTCCTACAGTTGTTAAATATGCGGTCGAGCTTTTCCTCTTCTGACAGTTTCGTGAATCGCATCAGCTTCCTTAGTCCCATAGCGTATTCCCTCACTGGTTCTGAATCCCGCTGTTTAAGCTGTGTGATCTGTGTCCTTAGTTGTTCTTCGTATCTTGGAGGCAGGAAGTACTCCAGTAGTTCAGTTGTTAGTTGCTTCCATGTGATTATTTTGGTTGGAGTGGTGTTCCACCAGTCTATGGCGGCTCCTTCCAATATGTACGGCATGGTCTGAATGAGCTGGTTCTCTTGAATACCGTATCCGGACGCCCACTGCTCCATTTTGTTTAAGAACTCCAGTGGTTTGTCGTTCCTTGGTATCGGATTCCCCAGCTCCGTACTCGGTCAACCACCTCTGTTTCCATCCTCCACTCTATTTTCCTTTCTTTCTCTCCTTCCATCGTTCCGTCTAGTTTCTCCTTTTTCGCTGCTCTGATCCGAGCTTTTGCGCTTGTTGTTGCTTCTTCCTCGCTGCTCTGCTCCTCTTCTCTGCTTTCCGGTCTTATCTCTGCCGGGTTTTTGTCCCTTCTGTATCTCACCGCTGTCCCGGCGAGTTGGTGTCCTTGCTCCTCTTCCTCGAATAGCTCTTCGCTTTTCCCCGACGTGTCTAATCCGAACTCTTCTGCGTATTCCGTAAGTTCGTTTTTCGACGCTAGGTATACCCAGCTTGACATCACTCTGCCGGTGTCGGTCTTGTTCCTTGCAACCACTTCAATCTGTTCGGGCGCCACTGTGACGGTTAGTCATTCCTCGGGGCTCAAGGATGGCCAGGGTTCGTCTCAGATATTTATTTGTTGTTTGAGGTGGTTGCTGCAAGGAAATTCTCGATCCGGGTTCCAGAGGAGAAGGCCGATAGTTAGGGTATACTTGGACTAAACGATTTATTGTAGATAAGGGTACAAAGAGGTAAGACGGGGTTTTGTGTCGGCAATTAAGAATATCCGCTCAAGCTCGCTGTACTTCGGGCCGGGTCGTCGTTCTCCGGATGCGTTTCGTCGCACTGGGTCCGCCGTCCTTCTCGAGATGCGTTCCGCCGCCCTGGGGTCCGCTGCCCGTTCCGTGCCGGGGTTTCGCGTGGCCTAGCTTCCTAGATGAGCGAGAGTAATTGGTGGAGGCCCTGAGGTCTCCTAGGTTAGGATGTGGTTAGTGAAGGCCCTAAGGTCTTTCAAGTCAGTGAAATATGCGGAGGCCCCTGAGGTCTTCCAATAATAGAGCAGTGGGTAGAGGCCCTAAGGTCTTCTAAAGATTAGCGGAGTTTGTTAAGGCTTGCTAAGGTCTTCTAAGATGAGAAGTTTGTAGAGGCCCTAAGGTCTTCTAAAGATTGAGAAGTTTGTAGAGGCCCTAAAGTCTTCTAAGATTGAGAAGTTTGTAGAGGCCCTCAGGTCTTCTAAGATGAGAAGTTTGTTAGAGGCCCTAAGGTCTTCTAAGATTGAGAGGTTTGTAGAGGCCCTAAGGTCTTCTAAGCTGAGAAGTTTGTAGAGGCCCTAAGGTCTTCTACGATGAGAAGTTTGTAGAGGCCCTAAGATCTTCTAAGATCGAGAAGTTGGTTAGAGGCGCTAAGGTCTTTTAAGATTGAGAAGTTTGTAGAGGCCTTCCAATATTGAGACGTGCACGGAGGCCCTAAGGTCTACCGAGATATATAGAGACTTATGGGGAGGCCCTTAGGTCTTCCAATATTGAGACGTGCACGGAGGCCCTAAGGTCTACCGAGATATTTAGAGACTTATGGGGAGGCCCTTAGGTCTACCAATATTGAGACGTACAGAGAGGCCCTAAGGTCTTCCACAAGTTATAGACGTAAGATATGGTCGGGGTCCGACTATTAGTTACCACTTTACCAGTATACCTTACTCGTCCCTGCTCCTTAGGCGGCTCCTTCCAGTTAGCTTACCCTTGCTCCTGTAGAGGACTTGGCCGATCGCTGGCCGAAAACTGAATGCCTTCCAAGGTCTGAGGCTCGCCTTATATAGCGCTCTGGCGCGGTTGAGTGTGGCTGTCGCACCCGAAGAAATTTGCCATAATAGTGTGGCCAGACCCTCCTCGGGCCAGTGTGACCCTTCGGGCGCGATCATGGCGCGCGCGCGCATTTGAATTAAACTGGCACTCTTTGCGGTGGGTTTTGACTTCATTTTATTTTGTCGTCTTCATGTTTTTATTCTTATTTCTTATTACTTAATACATATTTTGTGACTTCATGTGTTTATTCTTATTTCGTTGTATTTTGTGACTTCATGTGTTTATTCTTATTTCTTTGTATTTTGTGACTTCATATGTTTAAGCTATATGGACTGGAAGTACGGGATCATTGGAGGCTAGTAGCAGCATCACACTGCCTCCAGAAATTAAGCGCCTTTCTGGCGTAAACATTTTTATCCCCCCTCCCCCCCTTGCGAGGAAACGCAGCAAAAGGACCAAGAAAGAAAGCGTAGGATAACGCTGAGCGCTCGTGGATATGGAGAAGAGTGTGGTGGGTCCTGTCCACACGACTGGCATCGGTCGTTACTTCGGCAAGATCCTCCTGAATGGTGGTGGGCCAGGAAGTTGACGCAGTATTCGAAGACTGCCTGAACGCTTCTCAGCGTTTCCGAAGGGGATTTTCCCTTGACAGACTCGACATTGGTAGGATAAAATACCTCGTCTGCTTTTGATGTCATCGTATGGAACCCAGTAATTGAAGGAATCGGGAGAAGTGGTCACTAGTGTGTAGAACGCGGAAATCCTTTGGATAAGTGAAGATATTTGTGGAGGAGGAGTGGCTTGGATGCAATTATGGAATGAAAGACTACTTGCAAAGCAATTTAAGCACAACTTCTTTTTTTTAATATATGAAGTATGATTTTCTATCGTCATTTGGAGAAAGCGTGAACATTTGGATGGTTCTCTGCAGAACACAAATCGCATCTTTTGGATATGGGAACAATACGCGTACTAAGGGATTTTAGTAAACGCGGTGCCGTCTTTTTGGACGGACTGAGGCGTAACGTTGGAGATTGAATAGAATTTATCGTTTCCAGAGTTCTATGGCGCTCAGTAATGGCCGTATGACACTCTAATGCAGTTTTTATTAATTAGCTACTTCATTTTGTTTGGATTATTTTGGAAAAACGACTACGGTCACACCCACCGTAAAAGGTAAACAAAAAAAAAACCGCCGCCATTCGCGCCGTATTACTATGAATTTCTGAATTCCTCGTTAAAGTATTTTTGCATAAATAAATGCAGATTTCTTTAAATTTATGTTTTTAACCTATAAACTTAAAATTTTTTTAATTATTACCAAAAAAAAAAGTTGATTAATTTTACAGCGCAAAACATATTATTTGTCCTAATTTTCTACTATTTTTTCAGTTCAAAAACCAGCGAAATTATATAAAAATAAAATTCTCATTGTGGAACCATTCTGTCAATGAGCTGGCTAATACATTTTTCAATTACAATTTTTTTTTTGCTTTAAATAATACACATTATCATATACTGAAAGCCAATCCTCAAAAAAAGTTAATTGGGTTTGGGCTTGCGCAGATAAATCGCTACCTGCCAGGTGTCCATTTTTTTCACTTTTTCCTGGCTAAAGTATTCTCTTTCTTTTTTGGCTGGGCTGAGCCACCTACTACACTATAACTACGGTCTTTGTGGATCTATTCTGGATCCAAATCAACTTTCATCTGCTGCGTCAAACTGCGTCTGCGGAAATGCAACAGCATAAACAAAAACTACTCAGGGTTAAATATACCAAAATACCGACACAATTTCATACAAACCAAAAACTATACTAACTGTAGCGCTCACGGGTTTGTGGCGGTTACACTTTAAGGGGGTCTTCTCATTCAAAACCCGTTTTTTGGACCCTTTTTAAAAAAAATTCTAATTTGAAAACGAAAAGAATAATTGAAAACTTTTTTTCTTTATTGTATTAAAAAATGTTCAAAGTAAATAAAAAAATTTTTTTTTGCCTCGATACGAGGGTTGTTCAAAGAGTAATGAGACTTCAAACTTGGTGGTGGAAAAAAAAGGTGTCGTCCTGGCGGCCACGATTCAGGGTTTCCAGAGTGTCCGAAATGAAAAAAAAACGGGGTTATAATCAGAATAAATGTCATTTTCGGGTGACGGAACAGATTTTTTAAAATATTTTTTTAAACAAAATGGCGGCCATTCAAAAAAAAAATTCGATTTCGGGCTTTTTTTTGTAGTTTAGTGTAAAAAAATAGAAAAAACAATTTTTTAAAAAATCTGTTCCGTCACCCGAAAATGGTGACAATTCTGCGTCGATTCCACTTTGTTTCATGAACTAGAGATATCATGGCCGCCAGTTCGAAAAACGTGGTTTCGAGATAAACGCGTTTGAAGTTTGAAAAAAGCTCATTTTGCGAAGAACTTGCTTCCCAAAAAAGGCTGTATCTTTTAAAGTATTTCGAATTTCTAAAAATCCTTTTGGGGACATATTCAAAACATCCCAAGCTATTAATAAATGCAAAAAAAAAAATCGAAAAAAAAGTCGCCCAATGAGGAGACCCCCTTAAATTTAAAAAAAAAAATTTTTGTTTAATATTTTTTTTTTCAGTTTTCAAATTATTTTTATTTGAGCAAATACATAAAAATAAATATAAAAGGTTAGGTTAGGTTAGACCGGACGGCCCTCGAGGGGCCACATATAGGCTAATAGGGCCCAAAGCTATCCGGGGAAACTCCTGGATGGACCTTGTGACGACTCGACTGGTCGCCACTAACATGTACATATATAAATAACTATTTCCTAAATTAAGCTTAAAACTACTTATGTAAATACACACACCACCCGGCACGAAGCCATACACACACACACATTCACACACGCACACATCACCCGGCATGAAGCAAACGGCATCAAGCCAAATAAACCCCGCGAAGGGAAGTTCAAAACGAGTGCAAAGCTTTTGAAGTTACGCGCGCAAGTGGCAACGCTGTCAGCGATAGTATCAGCATCTGGCAACGCCAAGATCGAACGCGGCAGCGCTGCCGGCAGAAATTAGGTCACGGCTACACTGCGGAAATTATGTCAATTTAATTCTCGCAAAATTCTCGTTAACTAAAAGTGTCCGTGAGTAACCGCGTGTCCGCGTCGGGAAAAATTATCCTGCAGGACCTCTAAGGACATCCAGCCAGGGTGAGCATGGCCGCCGGCCATTAAGTATATTGGGGATTTATCCCACACCCGCCGCCAGAAGTTATTTTCCCGAATAAAAGTACCAATTAGAAAAACATGTGCTTAAATCAATTTGCGCGTTTTCCCTGTCTTCGTGCGCGGGCCGGCGCCCCTCGCCGGCAGTGACCAATTCCCCTCCTGCTTTCCCCGTAGCACCGGAGTAATTCCGGGTGCGGGCGGAAGCCGAACGGGAACAGGAGTCCGTGGCTGCTGGATTTTCCGAGTCCGGACTTGCTGCGCGAGGCCGCCGGTCCCCTTCCCCCTTGCCCATCAGAGAGCCATCCCGGGCGAGGATCTGGGGTTGGTTGCTGGATTTTTCTGAGCCAACTGTCCCGCTGCTGGATTTTTCCGAGCGCGGACGCAGGCATCGGCTGCTGGATTCCTCCGAGCCGTTGTCCTGTCCCAACGGACGCCGCGCTGCTGGGATTTTCCGAGCGTGGGCGTGGCTGCTGAATTATTCCGAGCCCTCTGAACAATCCTGCCGGTGGATTCTTCCGGGCGAGGATTCGGGGCTGGCTGCTGGATTTTCTCCGAGCCAGTGGTCTCGCTGCTGGATTCTTCCGAGCGTGGACACAGGCCTTGGCTGCTGGATCCCTACGAGCCTTTGTCCTGCCCCGAAGGCGCCCCGCTGCTGGATCACTCCGAGCGTGGGCGTGGGCGTGGTCGCTGGATAATTCCGGGTCACTCGTCCCGCCGCTGGATAATTCCGTGCGCGGACGCGGGTTTGACCGCTGGATTCTTTCGGGTCGCCCAGTTCCCCTGGCCAAATAATCACGTGCAAATATTTTCTTCCCCATTTTCTGGGAACAGAAAAATTATCGGCGCTTCTCCGTTCTGGGTGTCTCACAAATTTTAAATTTGTGAGGGGACTCTGGGCCGCTGAGGATCACCCCGGCCGCCCAGACGCTTCCTTACATGTCGCCCGAGCAGGGACAGCCCAGGACGGAAAGTTGGTCATCTTGGCAGATTAAAGCCCCGCCAGCCGATATTTTTTTAGGTCAGAAAAATATATATACGAGTATATAGAAAAAAAAAAAAATATAATAATATATCTATAGGGAGAAAAAAAATATAATAATATATATGTCGCAGATTATTTTGTTAATTCAAATTATAACGATTTTTGTGGGTACACACTTGTTTAATTTATTATTGCTTCTCTGTTCTTTCGTGCGAGGCATACACTGTTTTGCCAACGTAGCCTGGGCGTGTGTATGAAAGAGACGGATATTGTTTTCTGAGAACTCACCACACCTACGTGTGTGTTGCAAGGTAAAAAGGAGTTGAAAATGAATGACACAGCGTTTTTGAGTGGCAAGCAGATTGGTTGAAGATTTGAGGAATCATGCCACGCGCCAGGAAACGTTACGCCGAAAGTCAAGTTGAGGACTCCGATGGTGAATCCTCGTCATCAGAAGTGGGATTACCTCCGCGTCCAATCAATGATGCAAATCTTCTAACAATTCTGGAGCTGCAAAACCGTAATTTCGCCGAGTTGATAAAACAAGTACAGTGCTCTCAAAATGAACCAAAAGAGGCAAAAACCATTGTGCTGCCAAAGTTCAACCCTGATTGTGCAGGATCAGACGCGCTGTCCTGATGTTCTACAGTCGACTACATATTGTCTGAAAACCAGCTCGTGGGGAGCGCTCTTGTAATGGCCCTCAGCAAATCATGGAGGGCACCGCATCTCACTGGCTCTCACAGACATGTTTTCCCGGCATTACATGGACGCAGTTTCGAGAATTATTTTTGCAATATTTTTCCGGAACTGAGACTTTGGCCGCGACTGTTATGAATTTGCTAAACGCACGCCCAAATGAAGGAGAGTGCTTGTCGTTATATGGGAGCAGAATGGTCACCTCACTAATGGCCCGCTGGAAGTCGCTCAGCGTTGAGCAGATTGCAGTATCCGTCACGTTGGCACATGCAGCTGGCATAGATACACGGTTGCGCCGTTTGGTTTTTACGACGGACATCAAAAGCCGAAATGAGCTGCATCAGGAACTCAAAGCCTTTTCGTTTGACGCCGGACAGAGACAGCATTCGAGTGACAACGTATCGGCACCAGAAGGAAAAAGAGACAGAGCTATGCCTCACATCACGTGTTACAACTATGGCAAACCCGGCCATAAGAAGGCGGAATGTCGCTTTAACAAAGAGACAACTCATTTGGAGCAGCCCCGTAATAATCAACAATCTGGATATAGAGGAGCATCCGTGATCTGTTATAAATGTGGAAAATCTGGACATGTTTCTGCGGTATGCCCGGATCGTCAGGAGCGTCCACCGGTCACGACCAATACAATCAAAGATGTGAACATATGCACCGTACTCGACCCATAGGAACGTTGCTGCAGTTTGGTGAGTCGTTCCAATTTTACTTCGACTCCGTGTGTCCGCTCATCGAAGAGACTGTATCCACGAGATTATTAAAGAATAAACAACTGTTAAATGTTTTGATTTTTGAGCGTTCTTTTAAAGTCTTATTTTACGTAGTTTTACGTAGTTCATATCAAATACGACGCTCCGACTAGTTGAGAAATTTTAGGTAGGGGCATCGGCGTAACAATTACAGCGCACTTATGTTTAATGAAAAATAGGAAGAGGACCTTTTTAAGTGACCGTAATATTAGGAGATTGGTATAGACTTGAGGAATTAAATAATAATTATTGAGACGTATGCCTGAGAAGGGGATTACCACGGAATTTGGATGATGATGTGGTGATGAAGAGATCACGGAATTGGATGATGAAGGTGGTAATGAAGAGACCACGGAATTTGGATAATGATGTGGTGATGAAGAGATCACGGAATTGGATGATGAAGGTGGTGATGGAGAGACCACGGAATTGAATGATGAAGGTGGTGATAAAGGTGCCACAGATCAAGCCGGTGAGGGCTGTGATTTTGAAGTAGAATGAAGACGTGTCATGACACGTCCGAATAAGTTCCAGGTTTCAGAACTTTCTGTGCAGGTGGGTGCCCGAGTTATGTGGTTCGCCATTTGTTGCAGGAAGGCTGAAATTTTGGTAACGTTCGATGAATTGTTATTTGGCCGGCCTGTGGACTACATTTCGAGCTATTTCAGATGGCCGGTTTGTCAGGATATAAGCTGTGGGCTAAACTAACTCAATAATTGACTGGCCAGTTTATCTTGTGGATGACTGTGTGCTAGTGGTTGGCATGATGTTTGAAAACGAATGAATTATTTGGACTTAAGTTGGTGGTAATCCGGATCTCATGGCATAAGTTGTTTAAAAGTAAGAAATAAGAAGTCTAAGAGAAAACTTTAAAATAGTTTGTTTGATTCTGATTCTGAAATGATCTAAGAAAATGTAATGAAGAAAGAAGAAGAAATGTAATGAAGAAAGAAACTTGAATGAAGATAAGAGAATGAATTTGTAAAACCGTTATGTTATAGACTCACGAGGACGTGAGATATGTCAGGAAGGCCGTGTCACAGATTATTTTGTTAATTCAAATTATAACGATTTTTGTGGGTACACACTTGTTTAATTTATTATTGCTTCTCTATTCTTTCGTGCGAGGCATACACTGTTTTGCCAACGTAGCCTGGGCGTGTGTATGAAAGAGACGGATATTGTTTTCTGAGAACTCACCACACCTACGTGTGTGTTGCAAGGTAAAAAAGGAGTTGAAAATGAATGACACAGCGTTTTTGAGTGGCAAGCAGATTGGTTGAAGATTTGAGGAATCATGCCACGCGCCAGGAAACGTTACGCCGAAAGTCAAGTTGAGGACTCCGATGGTGAATCCTCGTCATCAGAAGTGGGATTACCTCCGCGTCCAATCAATGATGCAAATCTTCTAACAATTCTGGAGCTGCAAAACCGTAATTTCGCCGAGTTGATAAAACAAGTACAGTGCTCTCAAAATGAACCAAAAGAGGCAAAAACCATTGTGCTGCCAAAGTTCAACCCTGATTGTGCAGGATCAGACGCGCTGTCCTGATGTTCTACAGTCGACTACATATTGTCTGAAAACCAGCTCGTGGGGAGCGCTCTTGTAATGGCCCTCAGCAAATCATGGAGGGCACCGCATCTCACTGGCTCTCACAGACATGTTTTCCCGGCATTACATGGACGCAGTTTCGAGAATTATTTTTGCAATATTTTTCCGGAACTGAGACTTTGGCCGCGACTGTTATGAATTTGCTAAACGCACGCCCAAATGAAGGAGAGTGCTTGTCGTTATATGGGAGCAGAATGGTCACCTCACTAATGGCCCGCTGGAAGTCGCTCAGCGTTGAGCAGATTGCAGTATCCGTCACGTTGGCACATGCAGCTGGCATAGATACACGGTTGCGCCGTTTGGTTTTTACGACGGACATCAAAAGCCGAAATGAGCTGTGTGGAGATCTGTATCGGCAGCGGAGAGCGATGGCAGAGATGAGAGCGACGCGCTCTCTCACAAGAAGTAGAGAAATGCATTACTGTACACGCAACGCAAATAGATTATGTTAGTTGACCTGACAACGCTGGCAGTGCCGGTGCTAATAAAATAGCGAATCGAAGATCACACGTGTGCCTTGTTATTTGGACTTGGGGAAACGGGCATTGTTACACTGGCGACGAGGAGAAAAACTGGACCTTAAATATTTACCAAGTATTGTATAAATACTACCAGCCCAATTGAAAAAAAAGAAGTAAAGAAATAACGAAAAACTAACGCGTGTCTCGCCGTTTTCGCAAGTCGACAATAAAGCGCCGTTATACTCGCATACGTAGGAACGGACATACATACATATGCGTGTAAGAGGTAAAGAGAGAAAAAGGTGGACAGCACAAGCCGATTAAATTCCGGCGGCTGCACTAAGAGAATCTGTTCCTAAGAGAACGAGATCGAAATAAACGTGAAGGCAAAGTGTAACTTTTGCATTAAGAGAATCTGTTCCAAATGGAATGAGATTAAGCAGTGTCAGCTGATTAAATTCCGGCTGCTGCATTAAGGGAGTCGGTTCCAAAGGGAATGCGATCCAAAGAAAAAGAGCAGTGTTAGCTGATTAAATTCCGGCTGCTGCATTAAGGGAGTCGGTTCCAAAGGGAATGCGATCCGAAGAAAAAGAACAGCGGTAGCTGATTTAATTCCGGCTGTTGCATTTAAAGAGTCGGTTCCAAAGATCGATAAAATAAAATAAAATAAAAAAAATAATAAAAAAAAAAAAAATAATAATAATAAAAAAAAAAAAAAAAAAAACAAACTGGGAGATTGTTAATGGCCATTTTATTTTAATTATCTTTCAGTTTAAACTAAACATGACCGAGTTAAAACCATTCCTGTGCCAGGGAATGGATAAAGCGCTATGGCGAACAGAATGGGAGGCGTGGTTGCGCGCGTTTAATATATATATTGACACGGAGGAGATCACATCCGTATGCAAGAAAAGAAATAAGCTTCTCCACCTGGGCGGACCACAACTCCAGGCCGTAGTCTACAGCATTCCGGGAGCATTAATTCCTTTTGACGAGAATGAGAAAAATGATGTCTTAACACCTCTCATTACCAAATTGAACGAGTATTTTTCACCACAGCGCAACTCGTCTTTTGAGAGACATTTGTTTCGGTCGATGACCCCAATAGAGGGAGAATGTTTCACAGAGTTTTTGATGAGGCTTCGCCGCCAAATAGTAAAATGTTCATTTGGAGAGACTAAAGAACAGATAGAGGATATCTGCCTAAAAGATAGGATCATGGATGTCTGGGCTCCGTTGGAGCTAAAAAAGAAACTACTGGAAAATGAACTTACTTTGGAGGAGGTCATAAAAGCATGTAGTGTCGACGAACAAGTTAATAAACAAACGCAGTCGATGATCCCGCAGGCGAATGCAAATAGCATCAACAAAATAGTTCAGCGTAGCGCGGGTTCCGAATGTGGCAGATGTGGTCAAAAAGGGCACCAAGAGAATAGCTTGGACTGCCCAGCCAGAAACGCGAAATGCAGGAAGTGCGAAAGGTTTGGACATTTTTATCGGAAATGCCGTACAAGGAAACGGAAACCATATGATAAATGGGAAGGACCCGATAGAAAGCGACGACAATATGATCATTCTACAATCAAGTCCATATCCAGTGGTTCTAAAAATTACCCAGATAGCCCAAAAGACGCGGATCTATTCAGAGTCGACCATGGATCATCACGAGAAGAAGAACTTCCATGTAAAATAGGTGGCGATACAATCACTATGATAATTGATTCGGGATCGAAGTACAATCTGATAAGTCAGTCGGATTGGCGACAATTGTGTGAGAAAAGGGCAGTGATGTTTAACTCGCGCGCAGAATCAGCCAACCAGTTTCGCGCATATGCTTCTGATCATCTGCTTAAAGTACTACAAGTTTTTGAAGCCCCGATTTCGGTGCTAAAAGACCCTGAACTGATTGCTACTTTTTACGTCATTGAAAATAGTAGACAATCGCTGTTGGGACGTGACACAGCAACCAAACTCAAGGTTCTAAGACTGGGCTTAGACGTACATCGAGTTGAAAAAGCCGAGCCTTTTCCCAAATGGCATAATGTGTCGGTCAAGCTGTCCATTGACAAGTCAATAGTCCCAGTGAAGCAACCAATGAGACGAGTGCCAACAGCGTTGGAAAGTAAAATCACCGATAAATTGGAGGAAGCCTTAAGTTTGGATATCATCGAACCAGTATTGGGCCCGAGCGCTTGGATATCGCCAATTGTGATTGCATTTAAGGACGACGGGGATATCCGGGTATGTCTGGACATGAGACGCGCAAACAAAGCAATACAACGAGAGAACTACCCGTTGCCAACGTTCGAAACGTTTATGACCAAGCTGAAAGGTGCCAAATATTTTTCGCGACTCGATCTAAAAAGCGCTTACCATCAACTGGAGCTGACCGAATCCAGCCGAGAAATTACTACCTTCATAACACACCGCGGCCTATTTCGATATAAGCGGCTGATGTTTGGCGTGAACTCAGCTCCAGAAATATTTCAACGGCTAATGGAGGAAATGTTGGCTCCTTGTCAGAATTCTTTAAATTACATCGATGACGTGATAATATTTGGCAGCAATATTGAGGAACATGACAAATCACTCGCAAAGGTTAAGGAAATATTTCAAGCCAATAACGTAGCACTAAATGAGAAGAAATGCGCATTTCGAGTACAGAAATTGAAATTTCTAGGCCACATCCTCTCGGACAAGGGGATCGAAGTTGACCCCGAGAAAGTGAAGGTGATTACATCATTCAGAGCGCCCAAAAATAAAGAAGAGGTACGCAGCTTTCTCGGCTTAGTAACATATATTGGCAAATTTGTATCTGATCTGGCGGATAACACAGAGCCTCTGAGAAA